AAAACACTTTTTACTTCAACAGCATTATCAATATTCTGTTATTTACAAATGGTTAAGTTAATGTTCATGGTAATTTCCCATATCCATTTTCCCTATGAAAAAATATAAAACGTATAATTATGCATAACTTACCGATCATATGCCCCGCTTACAATTCTCCTATTATCAAAACGTATACATCTCACCAACTTTTCATGCCCTTCAAGGACACGTAAACATGAGCCACACTCAATATCCCACAATCTTATTGTTTTATCCGAACTACCGCTCACAACTAATCTGTCTCTATATTGTAAACAAGCTATTCCACGTGTGTGACCATTCAATGTCCGTACAAACTCATACGATGATGTGCTCCATACCTGAACAAGAAAGATACAGTGTAAAGATATCTTAACATATAAACAATATAATCAATTATAACAAGTGTAACTAAATAAATTAACGTTTGAATTTGCAAGTTTCTGGAATTCATGATCGAAAGTACCCTCACCCCAAACGCCATAATTGGTCCCATTAAATATCATTATTTAAATTAAGGCTAAACGTACATTCCTTCCATTCAAGACAAATACAACAGAATATATAATCTCCTTAGAACAGAAAATTAACAACAGTGTAAAAATAGATATCAAGAGTCTCTCAATTTTATATGGACAAACACATTATTATCAAAACTATCATTGATTTAGAAGCTCCCACCTTGATAGTCCGATCACCTGATGCAGATACGATATATTTATGATCAAAATCTACAACATTCACTGCTGCATCATGGCCAACCAACACACGTCTCAGATTGATTTCTGTTGGAGATTGCATGTCCCATACTGCTATTGAGCGATCCTACAAAAACAAAACACATTATAAAACTGGTTTTCACATATTATTTCCTAAAAATGCTAAGAGTTCTTTCTATGCAAGATTATAGATATGTCAAAAAATGTTACCATATGTTGTTGTATTATGACAGTATTGGATATAGAAATTGGGCTTCCAATGTTAAATTGTTTTTATAGAGAAATAGTTTTGGTTATATTTGGGAACAGCAGCATGTTTCAAATATAAATTTATTTTTAAAACAGCTCGATTTAAGGCTTAAAGATCAGTATCTACATGTAAGAATAATCATACAGTTTTACTGTACATAGTTTGTTTTTTTACAACGAGTCAGCGATACACTGAAGTGTATCGCATTTCAATGTACAGTTTCATTTATAAACCTGTTGCTGGGAGTGTAAAATTTATCTACATGTTTAAATGTCAGATCGTTTATGCTAGCAAATATGCGCGTTTAGAGAGAGATTTTACATCAGTTAGGACAGACACGCTGTATGTGTAGCGGGTTATTTTTTTATTGAGAAGATAATTTTTGTTGTTTAGTAGGGAGTTTTGTTGGTTTGTTGAAGTGGTTGAATATAATTGTGGTGATCTTAATTGATCAGGGTTTATTGGTTGTAATTAGTTGCTTTTGGTTGTTGAATTATATCTGTTTGTGACGATATAATTTATTGACATTGGTTGAATGTTTGTTTGGTCAAGATTTTATTAGTTGCTGCTTTGTTTTGAGGATATATGTAAATATTGGGTGCTTTAGTTTAATTGTTTTCTGATGCTGATTAGATTGTGTGAAGTTAATATTGTTTTATGAATGTTTGTGGTTTATACCGTATCTTAGAGTTGTAAAAATATTCATTTTTTTGTGTTTTTCATTGTGTGGTAATTTTAGTGTTGTTTGATCATAAGTTGTTTAGAGCTTGGGCTCGCCAGGTGTCTTGTTTCGTATAAAAGACGTATACGTGAAAAGATATTTCATATAAGTGGCTGATAAATGATGTGTGTTTGTTTTGGGTGTAAATAATGATCAGAGTTCTTTGTTTTGGGTGTAAATAATAATCAGAGTTTGTTGTTTACATGTATATATTGATTTGAGATAGAAAAGGATAAAAATACCTAAAAAAAGATAGTGTTAACTAAACAATTACATGCTAGTTTTCCAACTGAGAATATTTCACTTTTATGTCAGGCGGTGCTGCCCAGCCCCCATATCTTGGAAATTGGTTCCAGTATTTATTACTGAATCTTTCCTTAGATTAAATAACATCAAGGCAGACATTTCTCCTGACACTACAAGATTGGTCTGCTGAATGTCATTCAAATGCTAAACTTACTTCTTATATTAATTATAAATCAGTGTTTGAGTATGAAAATTACCTTGATATTGTTGACATCAAGAAATTTAGGAATGCTTTAGTAAGTCTTCGGTCATCGTCACACCCTTTAATGATTGAAAAAGGGAGACACGTAGGTATTGATAGAAATCAAAGATTTTGTTTCTTTTGTGAAGACCAGATTGAAAATGAATTTCATTTTATTTTAGTTTGTTCAACTTATAGTCATCTAAGAGAAAATTATATTAACAAAAAATATTATAATAATCCAACTTTGAACAAATTTCATGTGTTAATGTCATCCAGAAAAGAACAGACAATAAAATGTTTAGCTATGTTTATTTATTATGCTCTAAAGCTGAGGTCATCATTATTGCAGTGTTAACATGTTGATTAATTTTATATGTCAATTGATTATAGCAACAATCTAGATTATCTAGATTTAATACTTGAAGGTAATCTCCCTTATTTAAGGGCATATTTGAAATAATACAACCTTGTTCCTGTTTTTTCTTGTTTTTCGTTTCTTCAAGATGCAGGAACAGGCAAATTAAATAGTCACTCTTTATAGTTTCGTATTTATAAAACTACTTATATACTTGTTTATATATGTTAATATGTTGATTACTTTAGATTTTCACCGTATTTGTGATTTGTGTTATAATATGTAAATATGTTTTGTGTTGATCGTGATGTATAGGTCATGCTTGTTAAGTTAATTACTGTTTCCCTTTTTTGTGATTATGCATTATAATATATAAATATGTTTTATGTTTATTGTGATGTATGGGCTGGTGGCCTGAATCATTATAATAAAGAATTGTATTGCATTGAATTGAATACATGATGTCGTATAACATATGTATAACTTTACTGGAATTTCAGTACATTTAAGTATTAATACAGACCTGATGAATCAACATGAATATATAACTGTTTTTGAGTAAAAAAGATGTATCTACATGTATACGATATTCAAAATGCATCAATATTTTACCAAAGAGGCATGATTTTATCAATGTTTTTAGAGGATCACAGGTGATTTTCAAATTTTCCAAGACATGTTTACTATGTAAGCCTTTATAAGTTAGGAACCTACAAGCCAAATTTACGTTTTTGAACAGAATGATTTGTTTTTTATAACAATTGTTGACAGATGACATTACAAAATAATAAAATTAAACAAAAATAGTCTTTTAAAAAGATACTCGGCCGAACTAAAACTGGTTTACTTCCATATCGTATGTAATCTTTGATGGGACAGAATATGTGCCACTCTGTCCCAGATCTAATGAAACATGAGAATAGAATTATATATAAGGCTAATGATTATGAGCCTATTATTTAACTTTAAATTTCTGAAAAACTAAAATCAAAATGTTGCGCTTTGTAAACAGAATCATGGACGTATAATTATTGTGGTTGTTTGATAAATAATTAAAATTAAAAATTTATAACTTTAATTCAGTAAAACAGCGTAAAATAATATGTAGCAGGATGCATGGTAATATAGAACTTAAAATGTACAGAGAAGGCATGATTAAACAGAATTTAACTTGGTGGTAAAAGAACTTATGAATGTAGATAGTCCGTTCCAGAATTGCTTAAGATCAATTAAATATTAAACGCGTATTTAGATTTACCCTTGTCCGTCCGTACGTACGTTCTCATTTTGTGTCACACGTACCTCAAAAAATTATTTGACCTAGAGTCATGAAACTTTACAGGAATGTTGATCAGTATGTATAGTTGTACACCTAGGTATTTTCGTTTGAATGTATTTATTATTTTTAGAGTTATTGGCCTTGACTTAGTAAAAATGTGCAATTTTCAACTTGTGTCGCACGTGACTCAAAAGGTATTTGACCTAAGATCATGAAACCTTACAGGAATATTGTTCAGCATGTGAAGTTGTGCACCTGGGGTGTCGCTTGTGGATTTTAACTGTTTTGTTAGATTTTATGTCCTTTACTTAGTAAAAATTTGCAATTTTCAACTTGCGTCACACGTAGTTCAAAAAGTATTTGACATAGGGTCATGAAACTATACAGGAATGTTGATCAGCATATGGGCTGCGTACCTGCGGTTTCACTTGTCAATTTATATGTTTTGCCAGAGTTATTGCCCTTGATTAAATGAAAATTTACAATTTTCAAATGTTTTCGTGCGTCGCTCAAAATGTATTTAACCTAGTCATGAAATTTAACAGGAATGTTGGTCAGCATGTGTAGTTGTGCACCTTTGGTTTCGCGTGTAGATTTATCCAGTATTTGAAGAGAAATTGCATTGACTTTGTGAAAACAGTTTCATTATATTGTGTTATTTGTTTCTTGAGTGCTTGAGTGGATTTTTCTTTTAGTTTTGTATGTGTAGTTGTGCACCTGGGTATTTTCGTGTGGTTTTCTTTAGCATTTTCAAAGCTATTGCCATTGACTTAGTAAAAAATTGAAATTTACAACTTGTGTCGCACGTAACTCAAAACGTATTTGACTTTAGGACATGAAACCTAACAGGAATATTGCTCACTTGTGAAGTTGTGTACCTGGGGTTTCGCTTGTGAACTTATATGTTTTATCATATGAGTTATTGCTCTTGACTTAGAGAAAATTTGCAATTTTCGATTTTTGCTATGCGTTGCTGAAAATGTATTTATAATGGCAAATCAGATTTCGAGATTTTAGATTGTATTTTTACATGTATTCAGTTCTTCCCTGTAAATTTTACAGAAAGTCCAACCGAAAACAAGAGACGGCCTCCGGTCAAAAGAGTTTGTCCTTTTTCTTTCATTTTGATTCGAATATTGATGTTTGTGTACATGGCATATTGAAATATAAAAATCAAGGAATACCAAAACCTGGAAACAAAATGATCCCTCGGAAGCATTAATCACAAAAAAAATTACAAGAGATTGAGTCTGTACACGAGGGATAATAAATAAGTGCAACATCCCTCACGCCCCCTAGCACCGACTTGAGCGGTGATCAATTCTCAACACTAAATAGTGCTGGCATCAGTAATCCCGAAGAACCAGAAAAATATAACAACACCGAAGTGAAGTACGGGGCAACTGTTACAGCTGCTACACAGCACTTAATTCACACCTGCTGTTGTGAAGTATGAAATCTGTCATCCCTCGGAAGCATTCACAACAAAATTACAAGAGAATTGCAGACTCGGTTTGATGGAGTCTGTACACGAGGGATTATTAATACGTGCAACATCACTCACGCCCCCTAGCACCGGCTTGAGCGGTACTTAATTCTCAACACTTAATAGTGCTGGCATCAGTGATCTTCCTTGAAATATTAAATTGATACTCTATGTAGAATTAAAGAAGAAATAATATTAATGATTTTCTTTATATCTTAAATCTAAATAAAGAAACAATGCAAAAATATCAAATTTCAGAGTGAAAAAGTAAGATTTATATACTAAATAGGAGTTTAAGTTTAGGCTTGAAAATTGTGTTTGCAGTTGAAAACAAATGTATTTCACAGAGAAACACTTACATCGTTGAAAGCTTTCAATGATTGTTCAACTTCAAAGTGTGTAAAACATCTTTCATTTGAATTATTTTTGACCTCTAAAACATCTCTAAAATCACTTAAGTATTCACACAACTTGTCTTCGGATATCTCGAAGTTTACATTATGCAGCAACTCGTTTCTGTGTCTCCTGGCCTTAAAAACAAGGCAATAATGTATTAACTTAGAAAAATGAACATCGCATCAGGTTTATACCATTTAGTTTGATTTACAAAGCATTCAGTGTTTTTTTAAGAAAAAATATCAACAATTGTGGTGTGAAACATGGTATTTTCCTGATCTATATGTACCAGTACGTTACCAATTATCATTTTAATGTAAATTGAATTAGCATTCAACAAACATTTGAATGTGTTTAGTTATAATCTGCATTTTAAATAGTAAGAAGGAAACTCAAATGAAAATTGAAATAATTTTTACCATATCAAAAACGCCATAATTTGTGTTTGGTAGGTACGCTTTGTTGTTGACAAACAGACTAAGCTACTCTGCACAATCTAGTTCTTTTGATGATTGTTTCCGTCTGTACTGTGACGTATTGATAAACTCTGTATTACTCGTGTAACAAGCTGCTATACTCCAGGGATCGCTTCTCCATTGGTCCATGCTTGTGCTTTTTAACGCTGGATCCTCAAAGCGGTGATCTCGAACTATCAGGTCATAAATCTCATTACATAGCTCATTACTTGGACAAAGTCGCCTTCTGTGTGGAATTCTTGAGCATATACATGTACACTTACGCTGGTTATGGGTTCTTGGACATTGCTTTTTTGAGTGCAAAGGAAGGAGATTTTCGCTATTACATTCTAGACATGCTTTCTTTGACACAGTTTTAGGTAAAGCTTCTCGAATCTGTTTATGGTGACTAATTACTGCTTTTTCAGCAGGTGACTCCAGTCCTAACTTGAGATATTTGAGAGCAAGTACTCCTCGTATCCAATTTCTGTACATTTCTTCCTTTATCTGATGCTTAATTGTAAGATTTAAATGACCTGTTGCGGAAACATATTTATTTAAATACACCCAGTAATAAAAAAAACATTGTTTTAAATTATGTACCCTTACAAATATTAAGTTTGTACAACCACTTGTGAGTAATAAATAAATATGACTTACTATTACTATGTTATAACTTTTACTGTTATTCAATCACATTATTGTTTCCTTGGTATAATCTCAATAGTGGTAAATGTGAACAAAATAAATAAGAGATGGCCGTGAACATGTCTTGGGCTCAATAAATTCTTCTACTATTGATAGTTGCTAACTCATAGGGATGGTCTGCTTTAAATCTAATATAAAATAAAAACCATTCACAAATCTAAAAGATAAAGATGACAGAGTGTAAACTAGCATACCTTTAACTGTAATTGATGTTTTTGATGTCATTTTGCCGAACGCTACCATATATTCGCCCTCGTCGGCATACTCAACATGGTGTATTATAAGTTTATACTCACAGTCTGTGGACACTATAGTAACTCGCCCATTATTTTCCTCAATTTCTTTGTTGTTATGGAACCATTTTGGTGTCGTCCGTGGAATGTTGACAGTGCAACTGAGAGAAATTTTCATGTATTCTCTGATATCCCCTTCATAATTTACGTGTAAAGGTTTGCTGATATGCAGGTCTTTAAAATAATGAATATGTTTTAACATATTAAATTGTTTATCAAAGGTACTTGAAATAAAAAAAAAACATCATATTTGTGTTTTAAATGTATGAGCTTAGCACGCCTGATCATAATCAAGTAAAGTTTTATTACATTATGACGTATACATGTAATTAAATATGCCAACGTGTATAAATACTATAATTATACCAATAATTTACACATCAAATCCTGCTTCTAATCGACCACTATATATTTCCTGTATAACACATGTATGCATGTAATATAATAAAAAGTTGAGTGCGTGCGATCTTCTGATTATATCAATATTTCATTATATCGCTAAATAATAAATAAAACCTGAATACATAATAACCAGAAAATATAAGATATAGCCACATAAAAACATTTTAATTCCAGAAAGTAATTTAAATACATAACTTTAAATTGAAAATTGTTTTTTTTTACAAGTTGAAAATTAATTATGAACTGTTGATCAAACAAAAATAATGAAAAACGGAATTCCTAAAGAAAGCTAAACAGTGTTAAACTGAAAATGTTGCAGGCTCGGTTTGATTGAGCTACCGCCCCCTATAACCGGTTTTAGCAGAATTCAACAATAAAGGTGAACTGGTAAAATTTTGAATTTTGATAATTAAGCAAATGATCATACATTTACCTTTAACTGTGATTGATGTTTTTGATGTCACTCTGTCAAATACTACCATATACTCTCCCTCGTCAGAAAGCTCAACATTATGTATAATAAGCTTATGTTCATAGTCCTTTGACACAGCAGTTATTCTCTCATTATTTTCTTTAATTTCTTTGTTGTTATGGAACCATCTTGGCGTCTTCTGTGGTATATCACAAGTGCAGCTGAACGAAATTTTCATATATTTTATGACATCACCATCATCGTCAATTTGTAAGGGTTTGATGATATGCAAATCTTGATCTATTTGAAATAAATACAATCGTTTTCTCAGTATCGATGTGTTCTTTATAAGTGTTTAATACAATAAAATGATTTATGTTTCTAGTATGATACTTTGTAACAGTGACGTTCTATTGACTTTC